ACATTGTGATATTGTATCGATACAGAAGGCGAACTAGCATAATGCGAATTCCCAAGGTGAACACGTTTTTCGTGGAAATATTTCCGCATAAGCATAACTCATTAGGAGAAACATGAGCCGCGAATTGAAACGAATGACACATCATAGAAAGAATTGTTTGACCTATAGCCGTATTGGGAGCGATCGCCCATCAATCTTCTTCCCATTTCCAATATTGCTGAATTAATTTCGCGCACAGTCAGCCGCTACAGTTTATTATATGCTATGAAAACATTCCATTTCATTCGGTTTTAGTATTTTGACTCTTCTTTAGAACATCAAAATGTATATCTCTTCTATTTTTTTGTAATTTATATTTCTCTTTTCCCCACATTTTTTTTCAAAATTATTTATAATATCATAATTCAACATATTTATTATATGTATATTTGAAATTATATTTTTATATAAGATATCTATTGAAATTGAATTATAAACAGCTCAAATAAATTAACAAATTAAAATTAACAATAAACCTCCCCGGTCAAGAATAAATTGAGCAATAATGGTTGTTAAATATATCTATAAATTTATTATAATGATAACATTAATATACGGTACGTTTCGACTTCACAGAGTCCTCATCAACCGTAAAAAATTAAGGGGTTTTTTTACGGCTGATGAGGACTCTGTGAAGTCGAAACGTACCGTATATTAATGTTATCATTATAATAAATTTATAGATATATTTAACAACCATTATTGCTCAATTTATTCTTGACCGGGGAGGTTTATTGTTAATTTTAAGATATCTATATTATACATACTTGTGTAATATTTTATATTATTTTATAATATATAAAACATACACAAGACATTTTTTGATAAATACTTAGTTTGATGAAACATTAATTCAATTAATTTCTCTCTCTTTTTGTCATTGTTTTAATTTTCTCTTTTATAAAAATCAATATAAATTAAGTTCTGCCGACTTGTATTCAAGTTTATCCGCGACATCAAGTAAGAAGTGATTAAACTCTTAAATATCGTCAACGCACATTTATAAGCATTATCTAATTAATTAATTAGAACTAATGTTCGAGTCCGGTATTTCAATGCGGTTTACCAGCATAAACTCCAGTTAAAATGGAATATAGTCTCGCCTTATCGCCCGCATGTCCGCATAATTTAATTAAATGCAGCAGAGACAGATACTAATGGCATGCACAGGGATTATCCACAAACTTTCTTTGGAACGCGTCGCTTTGTGACGGGGGATAAATTCGAGTGCGGCAAGCAGGTGATTTGTATTCGACGCGAATGAAACGCTTCCGGTATCGTTACGCATCGTTGTTGGTGACGGTAAATGGCGTGCAATATCACAGTAGTATGCATACGAGACTAAATAAAATTGCCGTGGCAGAGAATGCTATCGAAGAACACCAGGCACGGAATACTCACGAGTATTGCTTCCTTCCGCAAAGTATTTCAACGACATGTGCTCCGGCAGGATGCACTCGCGTGCAGCATCCAAGCTAGAACACGCAGAAGCTTGAACTACGTGCGTGTTCTCTCATAATCTGCACGATGTAGAAATAAAAGAACAAAGATGGAATCGGGAGAAAGAGCGAGAAAAATGTGCTATTTACATATACATATGCAATATTATATTCTGAAATAAAATCTCTTTGAACATGCAGTAATACGTTCACGATTGACCTATATAAACACGTGTCATAACTGTAATATTTAATATTATATACTAAAGGTGAAGGTAAAAAAAAGAAAAAATAAAACTCGAAATAATGTAATTCGTAAAACAATTTGTGAAACAAAATCTATTGGAACGTGAAGATAAATTTTGGTACGAATGTATTAGTACGAATGCGATTTTTAAAATTCTTTTGTAGAGATATGTATACAGTTTAAACGACCAGAATAAATCAAATTTTTTAATTGAGGAAAAGAAAAAGGAAGACAGAGAGCGCGGTGTATCAGCGGGATGTTGGAGATTTCAGGTAGGTATATATAGTGACATACGGGCGCATTTATTGTCTGAACGCAACATTGTTATTACTCCGAAAAGTGGGCCAATGTTGCTCGGATTAAAATCGAACTGATTAAAGTCGAGCTCTCAGAAATTGAGTTTCATGATCCACTGACGGAAGCTTTACACTTTAATAAAGATTCTCTGCAAGTACATTATTTTCTTCATCATAACGCTGACGTATTATGTCGTCGTAAGATGCGTATACTTTGCAAACTACGGGAACGAGAGCTTAGTTACTGCCTTACAGTTTTATAGATCAATCCCTTTACTACCCCTTGACTTCCCCAGCACTTTGGTTGCAACAATGGCGTCGTAAGCCACAAAAGTTAATAAAATTAATTCATTTTACAAGAATATAAATTGAAACGGTGGCTAAGACAAGAATACACGAGCACTCAAAGGCTTAACATCGAGAAACGTATTTTGAAAAAAATTCAAAGTTTCTAATTTATCGTTTTTATAAAATGTATATAAGATAGGTAAATTATACGCTCCATTAGCAGGTAATGCTTGTAATTACGTCCAAGATCTATTTAAACAAGAAGTTCCAGAAAAATGACGATAGATAATTTGAAAATCTTAAACCTTGCATAATTACACTCAACTTCTGGCCATTGTTTTTAGAAGAATGGGAGTTGAGAAGATGCATTGCGCTCATCCTCTCTGTGTATGTATGTATAACGGCTTAATTATATTACAGTACCAATTTGCTGAAAAAAGAGAAGGAAATAATTTAATTATTCGGTTTGGAGAATAGCAATTTGTACCATAATGCATTCTCATGTTAGGATAAATGCTGTAGGAGTGGTGGACCGCAATATGTATTATTTGTGTGCATCTTATAAAACATTAATCGTCATTAATATATATATATATAAATCGTGATAATGTAATTTTCAAACTAAATTGTTGGATTTGCGAAGTTTACAATATAAAACATCAAGTGACAATTGAAAACACTTTTCAAAATTTTCTATAATCCTATTTTGTGATAAAACAAAAATCTATAAATATTTATTAATAATTCCAAAATATCTTCTGCACATATACAATATATATTATTTCTCTGTAAATACAACTAGATTCCTGACATACAGAGAAATTATCCTACGATAAATATTCCTTAACATTATTGCATTTCTGAATAAACAATGGATTAAATATACGTCAAAGAAAACAATATCACCGTATTAAATTAAAGAGATTATTCAGCATAATAATTAGTTCATAAAGGAATATACGCAGCCATAAATATCAAAGAGTAATTAGACTTATACTCATCCATATGCATGATTTCACCGTCGTCATATTGTGGAACTTTATATTATCCACCGTTCCCGTTAGACCGCAGAAAAGTTGAAATGTTTTACATCGAAATGGACTACCGGTGTGTAACTTCGACGCATCACATATCTGATTGAAAATTCCAAAGTTGCAAAATTAGCGCTACGAGTTTGTTCATTAAACATTACAATTTGCGGCACAGATGACTAAGTTACCAATGTCCATCGAAAGTGTCCACCTCGCAGACTCATTGGTCCTTACATTCATCGTACATTCGGAACTAACTAAAAACGCATATAGTATTATGATAAAAAATAATCTCATCATAAGTTTCGCGCGTGATTCAGTTTCAATCTCTATTTGAAAGTGTGATTAATTATACATTCGTATTTTCGTAATTGATTCAATCTAATTCGCATTTCGATAACTCCAATTCGACGAATTATTGTTTCAAGACAAAAATTTAAATAAAACTTAAATTTTTATTTATCTTAAATTCTTATATAGATGAAATCTTATTTTGATAATTAAAATATAATTTTCTCGTCTTATGATTGCCTGTAACAAGTTTTGTATTGTAATTAGATAATATTATATATTCATATCTCATTATATCAATTGTATATTTATACGTATAATTATATATTATTAATCAGGTAAATCATTAGGTAAATCAACGATTCAGTTGTAACCTCACCTTCTCTGCGTGCTTGAGTGCTTATTACTTGTAATATATAGTTACTACTTTTTGCATGTTGTTTATTAACATTTAATAAAGCTGTTATTATTGTTGTTATTATTATTATTATTATTATTTATTGAATTTGTATCGCATCAATCGGAGCTGTACATTTTTGTTAAATATTGAATACACAAATGTTGTAATAATTTTTGGACCATCAATAATTTCTACAATCGACTACTTCTCTTTAAAAGCACAAAGCACGGAAAAGTTTATTCTGCACTCCTACCTAATCTTCCCGAGAGAAATCGCCCCGTTTCTTTCATCGCTATAAATCTCCCCCGCGAAATGGTGAAAAATTACCCTCATTCTTATTCACGAGAACCACTTTGCAGACTAATGATTCCGTAACCGGTTAGGCGGATCAAAAATGTGAAATAAACTTGTGTACTGGTAGGTGCAATAAAATGTAAATTCGTACGACTATTTGCAACCAGCATTCCTAACGTGTTGTCTATCTCGTTTCTTTATGAAGTTAACCCCAATTTCTAAATCGAAGTCTCGTAATATTAATGTAATAATAAATCATTTATTCTATGAGTTAAATGATACGCACACAAATATTCTTTGTTAATTAAATAATTTAACTGCATAAAATTGCATGTTTTACAAAGAATGGATAGATGAAAAACAGAATAATAAACTACTCTTTAGTAAAATTATTTAAAAAATATATATTCTACATAAAGATACGTATGTATACAATAAGATTTTATGATATCTGACTTTAAAGATTTACAGTTGAGATAAGAGTCGAATTTGATTCTGAAAGTTATTTTAACCGAGATAACCAAATCCCTACATTTTCCATTGGCTCAAGATGTCTAAAATTGAGAATATAAAACGATTATTATGTGTGAATAAAGTTAAACAGTAGTATCCGCTGCATGATATTAATTGTAATTTTACAGATTTGTTTTAATGTGTCAATTTTTCTTATTTCAGATTCTATTGGGACCTCTGCATGCTCCTCCTACTGGTAGCTAATCTGATAATTCTGCCAGTCGCCATTAGTTTTTTCAATGACGACCTAAGCACTAGATGGATAGCCTTCAACTGCCTTTCCGACACGATATTCCTTATAGACATCGTCGTCAACTTCAGGACGGGTGAGTGTCATTCGATCGATCAATTTGCTTGTTATTAATTCCCCATTATAATAAATTCTCGTTTCTTAATTGGAATCCGTGATAAAAGACTTTAAATTTGCAAACATGTACCGTTGAGAAATCCAGTTCTAATCTCTCATATCAACAGAATTTGTGCAAGAACATCTGCGTTGTTGCAGTAATAGCTAACGATATTAGTAACGTCTTTTGAAACTTTCATGTAATACCATTAGGTGTTGCTTATTCCATAGTATCTTCGCGAACATGCAAAATTCCATTTGACATTGTGCTTTGCATCGTTTCCTCGCAATAATCGACGTAAATTATGATATGTTGATAGCGTCTACGTACATCAAAATATTTTGCAAAAACTCTTCTTTTATACTACATACACATAATAAAACTTCTCAAGATTCAATACAAAGACATATTTAAAAATTGAAGCTCAAGTAAAAAATATTTAAAGAAATACATCAATCAGAATTTTCTCATCACACAAAAATTCTTTTAAGATTATTTTTCAATACTTTGACTTGTATGTGCATTTAGAAATGCAAATTTTGAAAATTGCAAATTTCAATGTCAACATTAAGTCATTTTCTCTTCTCTAAGGACAATACCAACGAAATTTTTTCTATAAGAATTTCAATTTTTTATATTCGAAATTTTAAGAAGAGTCTACCACTTTGAAACTTTTTCTTTCACGCGACTCGTTCTTGTTACGTTCCCAAATATAAGATACTGGCGAAAACAGATGCAATGCAAGATGGATCATCTATTTGCGGTCTTGCTGGTCCTAACAATACACAATGATAGTATTGTTAGGGGAAGAGAATACTCCTAACTCCTTGACATTTCGTTATTACCAAGGAATTAATTTGAAACGTGTTTGAATCGGTTTCGTAAACGCGGAATTAGGTCACGAACTGCGACCGATGAAAATCATTATATTGTATTGCATATCGCTTTGTGTCGATTCGCGATAATTAAAAATTTCTAAGTCGCTTTATTCCCACGTCCGGCGCGTTCAAATATTTTAGCACGGGACGATAATATTCTTAATAATTACTTCTTTTTCCTTTTACTCACCGCTATAAAGGATTCAATGATTGTTCTGTCCAATTGTTAAATTACGTATTATATATATATAATGAGTGCATCAGATGCGCGGGAACGGCAACATGACAAACCGTCGAATCGATGGCAAGTCGCCAGAGCGTGAGGTAACAGCATTAGCGTTTTTCCGGCAGCTTGAGCTTCGCAGGCTTTGGAAAATTATTGACGTGGAAAATACTGGAGTAAAATTCTTTCGTTGCAGGTATAATGCAGCAGGATAATGCCGAACAGGTGATATTGGATCCGAAGCTAATCGCGAAACACTACCTCAGGACTTGGTTCTTTCTCGACCTCATCTCCTCTATACCATTAGATTACATTTTCCTCATATTTAATCAAGTAAGTATGTCTACATCGTCCTACGCAGCCTTACATATTCCTTGTTAAATCGTAAGTTATTAACTCGCTATACTTTATGTCTATGAAGAATCATCAAAATAATTTTCTATCTTCTCTTATCAAATAACGAATAAATAATACATTTTTATACACGTGTAACATTTTTCACGATACATATACAGTTAATGTAAAGAAAAACTTGTATTTTTTATATAATTTCTTTGAAATAATATGCTAATTATAAAATTAAAAAGAGAGAGAAATGAAATAATAAAATTTTAAAGACCTAAAAATACAATAATATTATTATATATAAAATAGATATCCATAAAATAGAAATTTCTTATAACATATATATTATTATATAGTGTACAGATATAGATTATAGAATTAATAAGAAAATCTAATTATTCGATAGGGAATTTCGAAATTCAAAATTATATATGTGTGAGTGTGGTATATATAGGCAAAGTGAGCAATAAACAGCGCGGTAATTTAAGCGCAAATTCTAATTTTTGTAATTTAAGCACAAAGAATTTGCAAAAATTTGCGATAAACAGCGCGGTAATTTAAGCACAAATTCTAGTTTTTAAAAATTCTAATTTTTGTAATTTAAGCGCAAAAAATTTACAATAAACAGCACGATAATTTAAGCACAAATTCTAATTTTTGTAATTTAAGCGCAAAGAATTTGCAAAAATTTGCAATAAACAGCACGGTAATTTAAGCGCAAATTTGAGTTTTTGCAAATTCTAGTTTTTGTAATTTAAGCACAAAGAATTTGTTCTTAAATTACCGCGCTGTTTATTGCTCTCATTGTCCGTATATTACATATATAATTTAGAATTTGATAAATCACGAAACGATTTTCTGAATAATTTTCTGAACGATTTTCTAAATAACTTTGGATATTTGCACACACTTATTGACTGACACTCGAAGAGTCAAATATTACAGTAACAAAGAAATTCGCAAGTTTCAGGACTTCAGCGAGTCCTTCCAGATCCTGCATGCTGGACGTGCTCTCAGGATCCTCAGGCTTGCAAAACTGTTGTCACTCGTTAGGTTACTACGTTTGTCAAGACTGGTGCGGTATGTCTCGCAATGGGAAGAGGTCTATGTGAGTGTTCCGCTACTTACCATATACAGCACTGTTCTTATTTTGTAAACATACGATATGTGTAGTTCGTGTATAATTTACGTATATAGAAAAAGAGAAAAGGAGAAGCGTTTGGTGACCTTCAACGGATTCAGGAAGCTGACAAACGATCTTCCCTCCTACGAAACTACTGCTTTTCCTGTAGACAATGATACTTCATGAGTTAATTAATATCGATTGTCAGTTTTTTGAATCTGTCAATTGCAGAAATCACCTTCCGCGAGATATTAAATTATGTCTATGCCTGTGATATATGGTCGCTGTAGAGAATCGGAGGAGGTAAAGGCAACAAGTCAGCCCACTTTCGTACCCTTACCGTAAATATTTCGTATGTAACCGCAGATGACTTATTGAGTCTTGCTAACGAAGTTCTCACGTCAGTGGTGGATTCTATCTGACAGGTAATCTTTTTTACGAAGTTTTCTTAAATTTGCACTCGTTAACAGAGAATTTCATTCTCACTATGTGCAAAGAGTCTCCCTTTGTCATAAGATTTTCATCAATAACATTCAGTCGATCGAATATGTATGTACAAACCTTTTCTAGGTGTATGCGGCGAAAATAGGACTCTTAACAAAATTATATATATTTTCATCGTTGTCGCTAATGTCTCGGTCCACCACTGCGGGGAATTTTTTCAAACTGCAGCCTCTCAGATGATTAGATTATGTTTCGCTTTCCGTTGCTGAACATCTAATAAGTGTCCCCACGGCTCTACTCAGTATATCCCGTGATACCCCCGAAACTTCCACTCTACAAGAAAGTCTCCAATCCTTCCGTCTATCTTTCTCTCTCACGGTAATAATAATCGTTAATTAGAATCAGCTGTTCTCCCTTTCTCGATTACCTCGCCGCACCGAGAGGAGCATAAAACAGATAATAGCCGTAACAATAGGTAATACCTTCAACAAACAATTCGCGGACACAAGCGGAGAGATAGCGTGACGAAAAAGCAAATAGAGGAAAGAGGATACACGTGCACGCGATTGCGTGTTCCGCAGAATCATCGCTAATACACCGTGAAACTCGATACAAAGAGAATCTCGTGACACAATACGACAACATTTTATTATATTTTTCATTGTCGTTTTCGATGCACCAATAATTGTTGTTTGCTATTCGTATCTTACTCGTTACTTTTTGCTCTCGTTTTAACGCACATGTCGATTTTGTGCACGTGATGTAAATGGTACGACGATTCGTCGACGGGTAAGTAACTGCCCAAACAAGTGTATATATTCGATAATCGAAGCAATGCGTGAACGTATTGCCCATCCCTTCCATTCGATCAGAGAATCATTTCAAAAGATAAAAAATAAAGAACAGAATATAAATAACAGAAGGTAAAAAGAATAAACTGGTGTTTATAAATGTTTTATAAAAATTTCTATTTTATAAATTCGCGCGTCTCTATATTTCTCACTTTACTACAAATATATCTCGCTATTTCTTCACTAAATGTTTACAAATTTAAACAAAATACTGCGAAATGGTTGTTGCATCCACAGAAAAATAGAAAGAATGTGAAATATAAGAAAAAGAATCAAATAACGATAATATTCGTGTTGTACATGTGTATATATTATTTCGCCAGGTCAATTATACGGCGAATGAACTGCAAGTGCATTACTTGTTTGAGTGGGTTAATTGGATTGAGAAATTATTGCTACCTTTCGGTGCTTCCGCACGTCGGCGATATTGTGTTTACGTGGGATAACGTTTTTTGTGTTACGTTATTTGTGCTCGCGCTGTTAGCGTAAAATCGTGGCACAGCGAAGAGACCAACGAATCAATCAGGCTTTTCGTCCAATCGAGATAGCAGTCTGTCATTCGCTGAAAATCTTGTTACGCTTGCCTTGAAACGTTACTATTGCCTCCCTCTGCTTTTTCCTCTCTGTTCTGTTCTGTTGTATAAACTAGATACTTATACGTTGAGAAAAAGAATGTATGCGCGAGGGAAAGCTGCGTTCCAAATTAACTATAGTTTGTCAAATAACAGCGGAAAAATGCGCGAGGCAAACGTACCGACCATAATGCGATCGAACCATAATACACGTCTTATAAGTTAGCGAAACAAAGTGAGCGGAATCGATTCTAACCAACTTTTTTATTTGTTGCTCATTTGTTGCTCAAAAGTTGCCAAAGAAAAAAATTTGTTGCTCTGTCGGTTTTTTTTTTAAATGATGTTACGCTAAATGAAGATTAAGTTAGCGGAACAATATACTTATAACAATGCCAATCGATGCAAAAATAACGTAGGAATTTGTTGCTAATTTGTTGCTGTCAAAATATCAATATTTTGAATATATTACATACTAAAAAATTGTAAATAACAACGAGAAACCTCAACGTGCTGGCGGAACAAGAGTAAAGTACCAGTAAAATTTGTTACACTGGCTTAAAATTGATACTGGGATGTCGTCTGCATTAGTTGCTCTCGAAATATGCAATTTACGAATTTGTTGCTTGCAAAATTAGTATAAACAACCACGAAAAACCTCAGCGTGCTGGCGGTACAAGAGTAAAGTGCCAGTAAAATTTGTTACGCTGGCTTAAAATTGATACTGAAATGTCGTCTGCATTAGTTGCTCTCGAAATATGCAATTTACGAATTTGTTGCTTGCAAAATTAGTATAAACAACCACGAAAAACCTCAGCGTGCTAGTGCTGGCGGAACAAATGTAAAGTACTAGTAAAACATTTGTTGGTTGTTTAAAATTGTTACTGAAAAGAACTTTGATGATCGGTTAATGAATCTTATACACTTATTAGAGCACAGCCTGGGGATTGGCTAAGAGAAACTGTTAATTTTTGGTTTCTTATGTAAATAAAAAGTTAAAGTATGGTGAATGTCCCAATTTCTACTCAAGTTTCTATTTCTACTCACTACGAACATGTCTTATTAATATAAACATTCTATTGATAGAATATTATAAATAATTTAAAATTAACCTTTCTACAATTTATTCTATAAATAGAATATTTATATTAATAAGACGTGTTCATAGTGAGTAGAAATAGGAACTTGAGTAGAAATCGGGACATTCACCTTAATGATATTTTCTGATGGTATATTGCTTCTACATTATTTTTGTACCAAAAACCTGCGAGAAGCAAGTACTTGATCTGAACTTGATTTGGAATGATGGCTGTTCCAGGATAGGAGATAAATAGATGTGAAAATCTCAGCCTGAAGTTAAAAGATTATTTTTAATTTTTTATACAATATATATTTTAATAATTGCGGATCTATTGTATATGTGTCAGGTTTCGTTTGTTCTTTTTCTTTTAAGTCATCGTATTGGATCCATGTCTTATTTGGTCGAAGACATATTGTTGTGAAATGTCCTAATTGTTGGTTTGATGTTCGGGTATGATGTGGTCCTTTATAATCTATAACTGCAAAAAATGTGTACTTTGTTTTCCGATTTTTTATTCTTATTTCAAATTGTGTTGGTAATTCTTTTAACATAAAATATTTTTCTTTTCCTTCTTTATTGTACATTTCTATGAAAATCAGTGGACCTAAAAAGATATAAAAATATAAAATCTTAGTAATTTAAATTAAGTATTTAATGTTTATCTTTATGTTCGCTGAATACATATATAATACTGATAAAATTGTTAATGTAGCATTTACCAGCTGCTACAACTTCAGCTGTAGTGGTCGTAGAACATGTTTGACACATTTTCGGTGTTATTGTTAAGTAATCCTTAATTATTATATCAAATGAAGTTTTCGTTAAGTTTGTATTTTCTAATAGTAGAACATTCATCGTTTTTCGATGTTTTATGCAACCTTTTGAGCAGTATACTTCGTGCTCAATGCTTGGGCAGTTAATTAATGTTTTACTTGTTACGTATGCTACGCTACTGTAACAATTAACAAGATTTACATTTCCTTTAATACTTGTACCGAAGATGTCACATAATATGTCAGCACGTAGGCGATAGGTTTTTGTTGTAATACCT